GCTATATTTTCCGTATTTTACAACATTTCGCAACCAAACTTTGCAGTTTTTCTAATTTTGATAACTTCTTTCCGAAAATATCCTTTGTTATTCCCAGATTAAAAATTTTTCTAAAGCGCAAGTCGTCCATTGAGTGAAAAATGTTCTATTTCACACGTGTTTTGTATGCGTGAAAATACGTGACCATAAATTTTTTTCATGAGTATATTATGAATAAGTAATAGTATTGTTTCTCGTGAAACTTGGAAAAAACATGCACAAAACTTGTTATTATTTGCGAAGATTTCAAATTGCACACGTCCTTCGGACTCTTAAAATTTTAATCGTCTTTGAAAAATTCACTTGTGCATGTTTTGTTTTCCAAATTGCGCTCATTAATATAATATTCGTTTTACAATTACACTGCAAAAACATTCGACTATTCTTGAGTAAAATAATGCAACCATATATAGCGACTGAAAATGTTGGATGAAATTAGTCAAATTTATGAACAAATTTCATGAGTAAAGTAAATTGTTGCTCAAAAGATTAAGTAAATTTGAAACTTTGCTCCTAAATGTGAGTAATTTTACTCAAAATTTTGAGTCGCTGTGGGTGGATTATTTAACTCAAATTTCGAAGATATTCCGGGGGTTTTGCTGTGAAAAACATTACCGCAAAGCATTGTCGTTAATCGACGTCCATATCGGAGTCATCGTTTAATAAATCGTGTACAATATGTGCCGTATCATGGCAACTGTCATGGCTGAACTTCGCGTGGACGTCTTTATGCGCAGCCCAGGATAGAAAACTATTCCAAAATATTGACGCCACGTTGACGAACAAGATATTATACTTGGGTTGTTGAATGAAATAGAAATTAACGAACTGTACGGCGGGCCATATCGAATAGTTCACTGCCATGTTTGGTAAAAATTCTGATTTTAACCTTGCGACCGTCTTCTTTGCCGGACTAAGTTCGAGCATGCCCAGAGAGCAATAGAATAACACTAGGAATACGGGGGCGAATAGTCCTTGATCCAAAACCACTTTTTTCAAAGCAATTTTCATAGTTCGTTGTAAGAATAGTTTGCTTAGGAACATATCGTACCACACGTGAAATATAGGTCCAATTATAAACAACCCCGTGCTTGTTAAACGTATCGTTCTCCAAATATCGTGGCTGTCCCAGGTTTTGTGTTCCACAAAATGTTGAGCTGCAATGTCGCCTGCACCCATCAGTAAACCTATATACAAAGCGAGTAGAGAATATAATTTATACAGACGCATGCCAAAAGATGAAACGCAGATATTCACTGTGATACATCGGGGTTTATAGGGGGCATCTCACTTGATATGACTATACTTGTTCAAGGACTTTGTAGATTGAAACCAACTGAGCTATACAGAGACAATAGGCAATTCCAGCTGTAGACTAAATTTTGATCTAGGCAAGAAGAACAAAATCCATTATACCACAGCTAGAAAGAGCATGTTAAAATGAGTAAAATTGCAAAGTTTGTAAATAGCCCTGTCATGAAGTTCGCAAATTTTGTATATGTACTTTTGTGTGTATTACAAATTAATACAAAATTTGCAAATTTCGTAGGGCTATATTTTCGTCATTTTACAACATTTCGCAACCAAACTTTGCAATTTTACTAATTTTAACATGCTCTTTCTAGCTGCGGTGATGGATTCCGTTCTTCTTGCCTAGATCAAAATTTAGTCTATAGCTGAAATTGCCTATATTGTCGACTTCTAACCACAAGCTCATGTATAAATACTCAGGTATTGTATGGGTGAGCGAGGTAATGTATGGGTGAATAGCAAGATTTACCCATATTTACCATACACCGTACATTGGTATCACCTTAGTATTTATACATGAAGTTGTTGTTAGAGCTCGACAACTGGCCTCTGTAGCTCAGTTGGTTAGAGCACTGCACTGGAATCGCAGGACACAGGTTCAATTCCTGCCAGATGGCCTATAGTTGCATTTTTTGCAGCTGTTCCTGGTTAGATATAGTAAATGTATAAAAATTTCACTCGAAATCCGCTTAAAGACCATGTCAAGTCCGTTCTGTGCATCAGTTTTGCTCGTAACAAAGGGGAACCCACAGATATAAACATTGCCCAAATTTTGCATCTTTCGAACTTTTTTGAATGGACCATTTGCATTATAGACTAAATTTTGATCTAGACAAAATTTCATCACAGCTTGAAAGAGCATCACAAAATGAGTAATATTGCAAAGTTTCGTTGCGAAATATTGTAAAATGCGGATAATATAGCCTTGCGAAATTTGCAATTTTCAGTCATTTTGTATTACGCACGGGAAATTGATGCCCCAACACCCGATTGGGCTGTCAATTTCCCGATTGTAATACAAAATGACTGAAAAACGGCAAACTTCGCATGGCTATATTATCCGCATTTTACAACATTTCGCAACGAAACTTTGGAATATTACTAATTTTGTGATGCTCTTTCAAGCTGTGATGAAATTTTTGTCTAGATCAAAATTTATAGTCTATAATGCAAATGGTCCATTAGTTTTGCTGTTTTGTTTAATGTTAAAATACATGCGTTTGTTTTTACGCGGTCATTACGGAAAAATAATGGACGCTGAAAGTGCTTCTCAGCCAATCACAGCGTGCCATTTCACCGGAAGTGATCTTGCCATATGATAATAATTCTTAATTAGCTCGTGATTAAAGTAATTAGGACGAAATTAAAGCCAGTGAACAGGTGGTAGAATGAACTCTTGAGGATCATTAAATTTTAACCCTGTTTCAAGAAGGCACACTTATCATATTGCAGAATCATGAAAGCGGGGGTTTATTATTCAACATTTTGCTTTGTGTGGTTTACCAAAACTCATAAGATTGAAACTCGATATCAGGATTGTGTTCGCACTGCTTGTTCCCAGTTGTTGTGACAAGTCTAGAAGTTCTAGAACAAGTTGTTATCACCTTGCAAGTTGCTACGAGCTCGTTGTCGTCAACTTGTTAACAACTTGTTTTACGTGCAGACCGCAGACGATATCAGACTTTTTGGAACAACTTGTTGCGAGCCTCGTAAACCTTGTTACAAGATGATAGCTTGTTCCAGACTTGTCAACACTGGGAACAAGCAGTGCGAACACATCTTATTGACAAGTATAATGAGAGTTTTGCGTGTGAATTCGCTAGAATAGCGAGATTGGATCACGAAAAAGATTATGTCATTTTGGTTTTATTACGCTACGAGCAGCAAAGTATAAGTTTTTCCCATGTTAGTTCGTCTAATACGTGTATTCCTTAAACATGCATAAACACGTAAAAACGCACATCAACGAGATGTGTTCGCAACAGGCTTGTAGCAAGCTTGTCAACAAATTGTAACAATGTTGTTAGCTTATCAAGTTGCTACAAGGCTGTCACTCACAACTTGTTGACAAATTGCAGGACGATAACAAGTTGTTGGAACAACTTGTAACAAGTCTGTTGAGCTCAACAACCTTGTAGCAAGTCGTCGACAAGCCGTTGACAACTTGTCAACAAGTTGGGAACAAGCAGTGCGAACACATCCTGTTGACAGGTTGTTGGAACAGCATTGCTACAAGTCTGTTGCAGGTTTGTTACAACTTGTGCGTTTTTACACGTGTAGACGAATTATACGTTTAACACGAGAAGAATAAACAAATGATTCTACTGTATTTTTATGGAGAAACAGTTTAGAATTGACAGAGCTATCTATTCAGTATAAATCAAGTTAATTTTAGTGCAAATATTATTCAAAATACATAATCTTTGTTTATACTTGCATGCGGATAAAATTGGAAAACAATGAGAGATAAAAAAGAATATCTTTTCAGTACAATAGGACGCCTTTTAGTTATGTTAATATTGACTAAAAGGCGTCGATAGCCTAGTACTTAATTCATTACATTTTTCAAATAAGATAAAAATATTTACAGGGCAAACAATCGCTATATGAACAGGCGATACATACCTCCAGGCAGAATAAGATAGCACGAAACCAAACCAAGAAAAAGAATTATTTGTTTATAAAAGCTTGCCATTTTATAATCAACACGACAGGAGTGCCAGTGTTTTTGACACAAAAAAACTAAAAGGCCTTTAATGACTTTGATCTAAAAACCGAGATAATCTAACTGTCAATCAAACTATTTATCATAAGATAAATTCAAGAATCTGAAGTTATCTTACCTTGAGCACACGAACTGGTTATAAGCTCTAAATTAGTGATATGCAGAAGAATTGCAAACACAAAAATGAATTCCTTTTGTTTATCCATCTTTCTGTCTATCATTCTCCAGTCTATCATTCTTCTGTCTATCATTCTTCAGTCTATCATTCTACTGTCTATCATTCTTCAGTCTATCATTCTTCTATCCATCATTCTTCTATCATTCTTCTGTCTATCATTCTTCTGTCTATCATTCTTCTGTCTATCATTCTTCAGTCTATCATTCTTCAGTCTATCATTCTTCTATCCATCATTCTTCTATCATTCTTCTG